ATTTAGTACATAATATATATGGGAAACATATGTAATATGCATGAAAAACATATATATGTACTAAATCCATATATCTCTATCTATCTATCTATCCACATATATATAAATATATATATATATATATATATTGATCGGTTTGATTTTTTGATTTGTCGGATTTTGGTGAGCGCCACTAGCTGTGTTAAATGAACTACTTCAAAGTTCCTCAATTAGCTCAATGTAAGTGTTTTGGGGCATTTCAGGTTCTTTCACCAAACACAACTGCATGGCTTTTTTTGTGGAATTTACCTTGCAACACAAGAAGCCACTGCGTGAAAGCCTTCTCAATTGGGCACTTCGTTCAAAGGGCATCCTAGTTGGGCCCATTAGAAAGCAAGAAGTCACTGTGCTTTGGCCCACCCAAACAAACACAATATTCCTTAGGATCCAATACCCTCAGTGCATATGATATCAATATGGGATACTTCTTAGTTTTTTATGTTACTCTTTATTTCTCATTTTACTCCTTTTTTATTTATTTTTTATTTTTTTTTATTTATAATTATTAAAGGGATAGTTGTTAAAGCCCTAATATTTTACCCCCAAAGCTTTTTTTTTATAGGTGCATCCATGTGTTTCAGGGTCCACCAATCATATTGTTATTTTTAGGAATGGCATCAGGTAGGGTACCCGTGCAAATTGCCCTACCCATTCCTGAACCCGCCTATGTACCCTTGATCCCAAACCCGTCTAACTTTTCCTCTCAATTTCCCAAACCCATCCTAACCCATCCCACCTGATTATCACATGATCAAGTTAAACTTTTCTTCAAGTTCAATATCAAGTATATAAAATAAAAGTTCTTCAGAGTTTATTATCAACAAACAACATTCAACAAGAACCAACATTACATAAAACCCTTCCATATAAAAGAACAAAGCAAAATAGTATAAGTCAAAAAATAAATAAAACTAAGTGACGTAAGAGAATGGGCAAACAAATAAGTTTATAATTTCAAAGAACCAAAAATCCAAAAAAAAAAAAGAAAAAACCCAAAGTTACCCGTTAAGCCGTCAATAGGTCTTGAGCTCTTGGTCTTTAACTGTTAAATCTTAAGGGTAAATGGGTAAACAAATAAACATGAAGGTTGAAGGATTGGAACTTGATTTAAAAAAAAAAGGAAATTCTTAGAGTCCTAATTCCTAAAACCATTATGTATTTAAAGGCTATGTTGGTGATTTGGTCTATCTATATTTAATATAATATATTTTTTACCAACACCTTTTGATACATCCATACTAATAATACATACAAACATATATTGTGTGTGTGTTATGGTATAATCTATTAAAAGTTATGTAATATATATGAGACTTATGTCTTACAAGATAACTTTATCAAATCCTTCTAAATTCTAGAAATGTTCACATCAAAAACTGAAACAACAAACAAAACCAAGGAAATCAAATTGAAAAAGTCCTCTTAGTTTCAATTAACTTATAAAAATCGATTATTAATTGAAACAATTGGTACATATATATTTTTAATATATATCAATATCATATGTTTATATATTCATCTATAATATATATAATAAATATAAAAAACCAAAGAAGAAAATCAATCAAAAGATGAACCAATCAATTAGTTAACCAATTAGTTCTATTTGGTTTTGGTTCTAAATATTGTAAAACCCGAAGGACCAGTTAGGTTTCAACAATTTGCCCATAATTTGGTTAAGCAAACTATGAACACTCCTACCAGATTCTAAAGCTCTTGTTTTCTTTCTTTCTTTCTTTCTTTCTTTTTTTTTTAATTTTGATTAGGGGTTTGGGGATGAGAAGCCTATGCTCGTCTCCCTATACCCATAAGGTCATAACCTCCAATCTTGTCCCTTGTGAGAGTTGAATTTGGTCCAAAGCACTTAAGAGTTAAGATTATCATTTCAATTTGAGTTTGATTTTCAATTTTGGCAAATAGATATCATTTGCAATCTTAATCACAACAATAAAATTTTAAAAATAACTATAAATATTTAAAAATCATTAACAAGTATATCGCCTAAAAATAATGCTTGGGTTGGACTTGAATTTGGTCAATATAAATTTTTGCAATCTTAAATCTTAATTATATTAATTTAAAATCCACTTACTTAAACCTAGCCAGATGCCCCAAACTTGCAAATTAACCATTATAGGAATGTCATAGGCAATAGGGCTCCTCTAGCTTCTACTTAATTAATTTCTCTTAATTAAAACTGGGCATCGGGTATTTTATTTCACCCATGTCAAATAAAACTGGGTATTAGGTATCGAATACCCTAAAATTAAAACCCAAACCGGTCCAAACCCTATATGGTTTTGATAAATGGGTCTTATTAGGATCAGATACACGAAAATTCCCATGAAATTGCCATCCTAGTTATTTTGATCTTTGATTCCATTGGAGTTGGGAGCTGTTTGGAGTTGACATTCTTTGTACCAACCAACAACAATCTGCCGCACCATTTAAAAAAAGGGAAAATTATAGTAAGAGCCGACTGTATATTTAAATTTACATTGCAGGTTGGTTTAGAAACCAACAAAACTCTGAGCACCGGTTGTACATTTCAAATTATAAAAATCCCCGCCATGTCATCGGAGACTTATGTGGCCATGTTGGACACTATATATATATATATACCAAAATCAAAATATCTATCTCTCGATCCCTTTGTCTTTCAATCTCCTGCTCCCTTTGTCTTTCCCACTCCCTCTACCTCTCAATCTCCCGTTCCCTTTGTCTCTCCCACTCCCTCTCCCTCTCAATCTCCCTCCCTCTCACAGTCATCTCTCAACCTCCCACTCCCTTTATCTCTCCCACTCTCTCAGCTTTGGTCTACAACCAAATCAAAATCTCTCTCTCTCTCTCTCTCTCTCTCACTCTCTCTCTCTCACTTTCTCTCTCAGTATATCTCTCATTCTCCCTTGGTCTTTCTCCTGCTCCCTCCCTCATTTTTTTTTTATTTTTCATATAAACTTATATGGTATTAATTAGACCATACAAGTTATAAGTTAGTCAAGGGACCAACAACTTGTATAATCAAGTTATAAGTTTCTATCAAATTGGTGTAAATTTTGTAGCCAAGATTTTCTTGTGAATTTTTATCAAATTAGGTTGAGCAAGTTAGAACCATACCAAGTTGGTCTTATGTTCTTTAATACGATCTGGTTAATACCGTATAAGTGTGTAAGAAAAATAATAAAAGAAGAATGAGAGAGGGAGAGGGAAAGAAACTGTGAGAGAATGACAGAGATTGAGGGAGAATGAGAGATCGACCAAGAGAGAGAATGAGGGAGAAGGAAAGATTAAATGAGAAACAGAATGAGAGAGATTGAGGGAGAACAATAGATTGACTGAGAGGGAGAGAATGAGAGAGATTGACTGAGAGAATGTAAAACCCTTTTCTCTAATCACATAGTCATTGAGCAGGGAGAGACACCTGTGAGAGTGAGAGAGTGGGAAGAAGATTGAAAGACGGAGAGAGTGGGAGAAAAAGTGAAAACCCTTTTTTTTTCAAATAATCCATGTTGTGTCCAACATGGATTAAGAATCCCATAAGTCTCCGTTGACATTGTGGGGGCTTTTATAATTTGAAATGTATAACCCACTATCAGAATTTTATTGATTTTTGAACCAACTTGCAATTTCATTTTAAATGTTGAACTGGCTTTGGCTATAATTTTGTCAAATTAAAAAGGGAGAATGACGGTTCAACCCAGGATCAGAAGTTTTAGGCCCAAAGTACAATCGGAGTAAGTACCAATTTGGAATTAATGCCAATTCACAGACAGGCATTAGTGTATAGAATGGGGGTTTTTGATATTTTGAATGTTTATAGATATGCAGTGGAATTCAGAAATGTGCATTAGTCCTGTTTAATTTTGAAATATGGGAACAACAGGTTGGTGCGTAGATTGCTATTGGTCCGCTACAGAAATTATGGAGGATGTAAACAGTAAACTCATTACAGGGTAATGGACTAATGGGCACGGTCCCAGGGAAAGTTTGCTAATGTTGAGGGTATTTTAGTCTTTGAGATAAAATTGCCTTAAAATTCAAATCCGCTAATTTCAAACTAGCCGTTACGATACGCTCTCGTCCACTCAGCTGTCAGCTCTTCTTCTTCCTTTACGCCTTCAATCAAGATTTCTACTTGAGAATCAAAAACAAACTTGTGCTCTTGATCACATCACTGCTGTACCAATAATTTCGAAACTTCATATCTGGTTCTCTCTGCAAACCCTAGAAAATGTTTACAGAAGGTCTGGACGAAAGCGCTATTAACTGGATCAATCAGGTATTCTTGACCACATTCTTCTTAATGGTAGCTTGATTTCCTTTTCCTGCAATTAAACTTACGGTGTTTCGATCTGTTTATTCTCTTTCATTTGGTTTGGTTCTTTATGGCTTGCGTAATAGTACATTTGTTACACAAGTGTTTTCACCAAAAAGAAGAAGAAGAATATAATTCTTTAGAACTCCAATTTTTCTTGATTTTTTCTTCATTTGGTAGGAAGCCGTTCATTAGAGCAATATTGATACATTTGTAAGGAAAACCCTAGTTTCTTACTTTTGATGCATTTTGGAAGAAAGTAATTTCTTACTTTTGTTGCATTTGGGAGGGAACCTTGTTCTTTAGAATTCCGGTTTTTTATTAACATTTGAAGCCCAATTCTTTATAACTTTAATTTCTTAAATTTGATGCATTTGAATGCTGCTGTACTTGTTTATTAAGGAAGAAAATCCTTTTCTATATCCTTAAATATCAGTACATCTCTCCAATTTGGTATCTGCATTCTTTTGATGTCTTTTAATACTTCTAATTGATTATTTTTTTTCTTTACTATTTGGTTTTTAGATTTACTCATATCGGCATCTGTTTGGTTGTTTCTTACTTCCTTTTCGTTTATACTTTCCCTGAATCATGCAGGGATCAGAAGCAGACCAGCGAGTTCGATCACCCTTGGCAGAAAAGATTACTGTCGACTCTGTTCTACAGTCTCCATTGTACAATAACAAGAATTATTTCTCTCCCCAGATTTTGCCTCCACTGAAATTCTATTCTGGCTTGTTGGGACCTCATAGTACGGTGTCTCTTGGTCTGGATGATGACGATGAGAGTGTGGCATCAGTCCCTGATGACTTGGACGGAAACAGTTATGATGGATTTGAAGTGGAAGATTTGGGATCTAGTGACACCGATTTGGTGGATAAGCCAAGTGTACAGTGCTATGATGAAGAGCAGTCCAATGCAAATTCAAGTAATAATTTGAATTGGGAACCTACTAAACTAACGGAGAAACGACATGTGACTTCTATGACCAGGGGGCCTTCAAAGGAGAATCTCAGGATTGATGTTCCACAGGGCATCAAGGAATGTGCCCGGCGGCGATATTCAACTCCTGGTGGTAGAAATCTGCCTAGGGAACAGCTCAGTACCTACAATGCACATGTAGGATAAATGATTTGTCCTTGTATAAATCTAATATTGCGAACAAAATTCTAGTTTCTATAATTTGTTTTTGATGTGGATTGCAGGGTCCTCTTATGGATGAAGTCAAGCCCAAAACCTTAGCAGACTTGGGAACTCCCAGTGCACCTCCCATTATGGAAATTGAAAGGAGAGAAAGTAATTTTGAAGTAAAGAGTGAACAAACTAGCAGTGACATGGAAGTTGAACAAATTAGCAGTGACATGCATGCACCAAGTGAAACTGGGGCCTGCAATGAAAGTAAAGAAGTGTTAGCAGATCCCAGAGGACAATCTCAAAGAAGCAGTGCACCTTGTCCTGGGTATTATTCTTCTGTCCCCCCTCCCCCCCCCCTCCCCCATCTTAGTTGTTTTCTCCACCTTTGCTCATGTAATATCTATGAAATTTCTAACCATCCTTAGTTTGGATGCAGAACCATTTCAAGAGAGACAGAGAAACAGATCCCTTATTACAGTGCAAGGTACAGTTATTGCCTTGGTTACTGATATCCCTTCTATTGTGGCCGTATCTCTTCTCCTTTTAATTGATATTTTTTCTCTACATTAAAGGTTTGACTGTTGTACCTGTGAGGATATGAGTTTTGAGACCAATACATAGTAAACCTTATGCATGACATACCTCTGTGTCAAATTTACCCTGCAATTAATTGGCACTTGTTCAATACTTAGGAATTTCCCATAAAAGTATTGCATAGCTATCCTAAGATACACTGAGAATGAAAAACAACAAAAAATTTGGAACTCTTAGGAAATATTGGTTTATCAATCAGAAAGAAAGACCAATATATGGGAACTACTGAGATCAATCTCCCAATTAATATTGGATCTTGGTAATTTGGCCATCACTACGCTGAGTGGTACCTCCTGACCAAATGTCTGGATAAAATGTATAGATTATGATCTAGCATGAGGATCTTGGTAATTTGGCCATAACTTTTTTCCTTTGATGGACTACATGTTATTCACGGTATTGGTCAAAATTCTTGGCAAGCACTTTACTCTTTCTGATGTGTGAATCCTCTTTTGGTGGATTGTTTTATCACTATAGCGGTCAAAATGCTTGGCAAACGATGATAGCTTATGATGCATGCATTCGCTTATGCCTACACGCATGGGCACGAGGATGCATGGAGGCACCTGAATTTCTACGAGATGAGTGTGTTGTTCTCAGAAGTGCCTTTGGGTATGATGTTTTTCTTCCTTCAATTTCTATCCCCTTTCTCAAAGGGAGTATTTTTCTCTTATTTAGTATTTATTATTACACGAATGGAATTGAAATCTCCCATTTTCTCTGCATGTAGATTACACAAATTTTTGTTGCAACCTCGAGGTATGTATCGAAGGGAAGGCACACTTACTGAGAGCGCAGAAGAAACATGCATTGTAAAAACAAACAAGGCAGCTGGAAAGATTAAGGTGGAAGGTAATGTGTATCATTGTTATAAATGAACATATATTTTTCTTATGGATAGGTCCTAATAGATTTGTTTTGTAAGTTTGAACAGGAATTCTTGATTTTTCATGCCCTACTTTTTATTTTACTTTCTTTTCCTTTCTGGTCAATTATTTTTCTCTGTGTTGGCCTATGATGAAATCCTTGATAAATGGAATTAATCAGCCTTGTTATTACTGCATGTTTACACGATGCCCCTTATTTTTAATTTGAAGTTTGCACTATACAAGGTTACGAATTTCTGATTTTCCATGGATCAAATATTATCCTGGTATTCTATATTTTGGAAATTAACTGAATAGAAAATGAATAGATGATAATTTTAATAAGGATTGGATCTTGTTCTTAACCAGCTCTAAAATATGAGGACAAAATTAAATATTTATTGAAGTTTAGCAACAACCATATTTTTAACTTAATGTTGCCTGATTGGTGGGTAAAAATGGCAGTGAGAAAGATTCGTATAATACCCCGGCGAAAACTCAAAGCTACATACTCATTGCGAGGTGCTGACTACATGCAAGCAGGGGCAGAATATATTCGACATGTTTCTTCATTGGTGAAAACTGGGATCAGTTCTCTAAAACTATCTACATTGTCAGTGACTTCAGAAGGTTTGGGGCCCCTCACATCTTAAAAATAAAACTTGAAGCTTGTCTAGGATGATCATTTAGATGTGCAAATTCCTTTTTCTGCTAAGTATATTTGCAATTGTTTATATCTGTAATACGAATATTAGAGATGGTGAAAATAATCTTTAAATGAAATCAATATACATAGTACACATCCTAGGACTGAGATCCCCACATTACTATAACTTCCACGCAACAGATTGAGGTCAAAAATCGAGTTAAGTGCCCTTTTCAGATCATCATATAGATTGACTTTTCTGGATTGCCCAAAGTGGTAAGTGTAATGTTTAATTTGATTGAATTTTGATCTAATAAATGTCCTAGACAATAGGCCTCATTGAATTGGCATGTCTCAGACTCCAGAACTTTTAACATGGAATCTGATGTTTACTTAAGAACAATAAATATTACATGACATTCAGGTTCAATGCTTAGCCACGATATCTTCTGATAGCTTTTCATTTTTTTTTTTTTTGCAGAATCACTATCTTGCTTAGTCCAACTGAAAAGTTCTACAGAAGAGATGCAGGGTGAACCAGGTTCTGCTATTTGTCTGCAACCAGGAACTTATCATGTCTTGTAAGCTGCTGCTCTTTCAAGATTTAATATTTTCTTGTCTTTTTATTTCTTTTTCCCTTTTCTTGTTTCATTTTTTGAATGGGAGAGACTGTTGAAGCTTATAGACAACCATGAACCTTGAATAACTTCATTAATGGTGTCAAACCTGCATGCATAAGAGACTGGATCTGCTCCCATCAAAAAACAATTCCAACATGATCTGTGCCTGCATATCTCAAACATGGTGGGTATCAGTCTCATGGTGAGATATGCAGACAGAGATCCTGTTGGAGGCATTTTGGAACAGTTTTTGTTAGGAGCAGATCCCAACTCCACACATGGGTGGTACATTTGCAGGAACAAACTGGAATATCCAATATATCAAGGAATTGCAATAAAAGATCTTTCACGTATCAAGGACTTTCAATGCAGTTATAACAATGTAGAAGTTATTAAAGATCATCAATCAGATGGATGTTGGGTTTATTTCATGCTGGAGGTGGGCAAAACTATAGGTCCCACTTGCTATATGAATGCCTTATGTTAGCTATGATGCTTGGGATTTCCTCTTCGTGGCCTGTGTGATAAGAATATTGATAACCCCCTCAAATTAAAAAAGTTATAGCATTTGAAGAATTCAATTATCTTTAGAGTTGTTCTATAAAAAATAGTGCTGCTGGATAAATAATTCTGAAATGCATTTATGATTCAGCTTTCCACAGAGCCAAGGGGATGCTCTTTTATTAGAGGTCCAAAATACAAATAAGGTCACCCATGGCCGAGCTACAATTCAAATTTCATCATTGACCGATGATCCTGTATGCATCCTTTCTTTCTTTTCTATTGATATTTATTAAGAAATTATTATTCTTTTGATACTTCATGTTTAATAGATTCTTCTCTGATTTTTGCAGAATGATAGAGTCCGGTGGTGGCCAATTTATCATGATGATCATGAATGTGTTGGGAAGGTTCAGCTCTTCATTGGCAGTACAGTTACTCGTGATGATCCTAACCCTATAAAGGTTTGGTTCTTCCTTTTCTCTTAGAGTACAAGTAAATTAAATTGTTAAACTAGATCCAACAAGAGCTAAGATAATTAAGAACCGTTCTTTTGTAAAAACTCAAATTTCCTAGCGTCAAGTTGAGTTTATGTTGTTCAATTTGTGACCTGTCTTGACATTTTACATTCTAAAAAATATCTTTTTTGTTGTACAAAAAGCCAGATTGTCCATGGCAGGTTGACTGACCTAAAGCATAAAATTTCTAGTCCAACCAGACAGGAACATAGTTTCTTCCTTCAAATTGGGTTAACAATTGGTGTTAACCCAATTGTTATCATCTCCAAAGAACATATTAACTAGAATTGCTATATCATCATCATCATCTAAGCCTTATCACAACTATATGGGGTTGGCTACATGAATCCTATTTTTCCATTCTGTCCTATTTAGTGCCATATCCATTGTTAAATATAAGCGCTTAAATCATCTCTTACTACTTCCACCCATGTCATTTTTGGTCTGCCTCTAGCCCTTCTAGTCCCTTGTCACAACAGATTACTACTTTTTTGCATATGACCAGACCATCAAGAAACATATTTACCACAAATACAGAAATTRGATTTTACTTGTTGATATTCAGTGAGGGACCTCTAGCCAGTTTTGCATGGACTCTCTTAAATGGATGAAGTGTCCATGTCAAACACTCTTCAGACTCTTGAAACTCAAAGGATTCTTGAGGGACACTTCTATATGACAACTTTCTTTCTCTTGTTTTTCATTTCATATAAATGAACAGTTTATGTRCACATTAAATGCCATTTTCCTACAAAATGTTAAGGCTGCATTTGGTAAGAGTGCAAGTGCAGAGCCGAGGCAAATTTGTACTCCAGTTGATTTTTGCGGTTGTTTGGTAAGAATACATCTTTGTACTGAAATGAAAGTAAATTTGTTTTTTTAACATTTTTGTATT